CGCTTTATACATTAAATTTCCTAAAACAAGCTGCACTATTTTTTATAATTGTAACCTGCACACTGCAATATTTTTAATATTTTCATTTTTAATTTTTTTTTTTTTTGAATTTTTAATATTTTTAACATTGCAGCCTGGACACTGCAATATTTTTTAATATTGCAGCATGCTTATTTAGCGCGTTTAATTATGTTACCCCTAATAATTTCCCTGCTAACAAAAAGGACTGCCTCCGTTTCCTCATACAGTTGTTTTGTCATCTTAAAGACTACAATCGTTGATTTAATGCAGAGAGAGAACAATAGAATTTCATGGGGATCAGTAAATATACTGCGAATAATTAACAATTAGTTCATGCTTTAGCGTACACTATCGAGTTATGGAGCACGCGGGATGTTTGGAGAGCACGAAAGAGGCGTAAGAGTTGTCCGAGGCGATAGCCGAGGGCAACTCTAGCTTCTTGAATCCGACGCAAAAAACGGACAACAATATCAGTTGAAGCGAATCGTGACGGCGCTGATGCCGAGTCTCCTTTTCCGTTGTTTTTTTCTTTTTCTGTCTCATTTAAGAACTCTAGCCCAAGGGAAAAGGTCCCGACATTGTCTTCATTTTCGAACTAGTAGGCCGAGTTTCTGTTTGTATCCATTATTGTTGCGAAATGTATTATTTTTCCCCGCGCTAACAGTGGCTGCTCGAGCGAAAAAAAAAAATTTCTGGCGAAGCGATTTGCTGACGCTATCAGAGTGCACTATCGGGATTTTGAGCACGCTTAGGTTTATTGAATTTGATTGGGCGGTTCTGCTAGCTATGTTCTAAATTTCGTTTAATCATAGTAAAATGCAGTGTTTGATACTCCAACTGCTGTTAGATTTAAGTTTCTCTCGTAAGAAAATGAGCGATTTCAACGGATTTCATCGAACTGGGAAAGAAATCAAAAGGGTCCATTTCTAAATCTGCTGTATTATTAGTTACTTGCTTTCACAGAGATTCAACTACTACTGAAGGCAAGAGTTATTCCGACAAACAAAATATGACACCAGCACTTTCCTTGCTTCATAGACTATAGATCTTTCGAAATCGGGATTGAAAATGGTTCTTGAAGTGGTCTGCTCGTCTAGGTCAGCGTTAGTCTGAGAATGCTGGATTAGCGAGTTGAGATTGGCCAGTTTCAATCCGTCGGTTCAGTTAGGTCGATCTGGTTGGTTCGGCTGTTTGTGAATGTCGTGAATAACTCGCTGTTATGGTACCAATGAATGTTGAAATCTACCGAAGGGAGACTGTCGTTTGTAGCTAGTAAACAAGCTTTTCAAAATCAGAGTTTGGTGGCGTTTGTACATAAGATTATTCATTAAGTATATTCCAGGTAAATGGCGTGGTTCGTGTTACTATGATAGAGCAGAGATATTTTTGTCGGTAGGGATATTAATTTGCATTTGGTGAGGATAACGCAGGAAATCCTATATCGTCAAGTGTTACGAGCCGGTTATTTACTTTCAACAATTCGAATGAGCCCTCAGTACTCGTGAAGGTGACAACTGATGGGGACAAAAGGAAGAAATTTATCCCATAGTAAATGGATGAGCGATTTTTCGTTGTCCAGTCATCTTGTTTAGTTCCAGGCCCGTCGGAATGTGGTGCAGACCCCAAAAAGCAAATCCACAAATCTACGTAAAAGGTCTGTCGAAGCTTTATATTTAGAAATTAAAATTGTGCGAGTGGGTGAGAATTGACTAAATCTTGAATTTTTTATTTTCACCCTGTCAAATTCGATTGAGTTTCTGTAGAATCTACATTCGTGCGGGAACTAAAATAATCCACTCTTTACGTAGTTCACCCAAAGTATAAAAGTAGCCTGTAGAGAAACATTTACAATAACGACCATTTCAAAGGTGTGTAATAGTTGTTATTTATTCTCAGAGTACCAGAAATGCTTTGGCTAAGGAGTCAGCACGCTGGAGAAAGCTATGAGACCTTGCAGGTGCTTTTGGGTAGGACTCACTCCTACCGTTTATGTCTAGCCCGGAGACGAACTGTCCGCGGATTTTGACGATTATCTGCGAACTGCAAGCTACAACCTGTCATCAAGTCCATTCTTATAGATGGCATAATTTTCTTTTGAATCTATTCAAATGCTAGAATGTGCTCGTATTCACATCTAGTCGGGACATGATTAAGATTTTCCTGTAACCTGTCTGATCGCGAACGCCTAACTTTTGCTTGATGTATTTCTAAGGAGACAACCTTTATAATTTAGACTAATAGAGTTGTGCATTTGGAAGGAAAAATTGTCAAGGTTTAAGATCTGATCTCTTAATGATATATATTTTTGCGATGTCGTCAACTGAATGTTCCAGTATGTATTAGCTTACATAGCACTTCATAAAACGGTCACCAGTTCTGAATCCATTAGCTCGCTGAGTGAAATGACAACGACAACCGTAGCTAAGGTTGGGTTACAAAAAGTAGCATTTGTGGATCTTGAAGTAAATTATCTTTCGGTGACAACGCTTTTAAAATTATATGCTTTCAAAAGCCGGCGTAGTATCCATAAATTACTATAAACATTGTCTAGCACATTCACTTCTGGATAGGCAGTTTCCATTAGCAATGACTATTTATCGACACGCCCTCGTTTATAAGAACACTCAAGGCACCATAATAGAGGCCTGTGTGGTCCAACAGGTTATCAATCTTAAAAAAAGAGTATATCATTACCCCCATTAGGTTCTTAACCAATAAGGGAAGTCTTTAGATAACCTGCATGATCAATTAGCCACGGCAATCGGGCTCATATTTAATTCCTTCTACTACAGCCCACATAGAAATTATTTTCCGGTCGATTTTTTCCACATTTTTCTCGCGGTAAGGTACGTTAACCAATATCATTCCTGTACAGTGTTTTCAATCACACAACAAGGAGTAGTTAGCAAGCACGTGCTAACTTCTCTGACGCAATAACGTTCTTCTGCTTATGTTCATCAGGAAGGAGATGAAAGTGTTGCATTTGTCTTTACTGCTACTGATACTGCAATTGACCTTTTGGCAAGGAAAAAGCATGTTATTTGGTAAATCTAAAGGTGGAGAAAAGGGAAAAGAAACGGAAGAGAGCAGCTTGAAAGGAAAGATGAAGGGATCGTTTAAATCACTTGGAAAATGGTCCCAAAAGGCCGGCCAAAAAATTGGTCAGGCGTTCGGCTTCAAAAAGAAACGTAAGTTAAGTTGAAAATAACTGTGAAAACAAAGTCGATAATGAAGAAAAGTACCAACATGAATTACCAGATTTTTGTGTCAAAGGAAAATTAGAAAATAATCGTGTAATATTAGAAAAACACCCACAATAATCGCAAAAAGGATAGTTTGAAAGAGGGGATGTGGACACCCTTACATTGCTTCGAGTTTAAAACCACACTAAGGTTCCTAGATTTAAATGGGGTGGGTCAACAAACATTTTAAAAGATTTCAAGCAAAGTTGCCAAACTGAACTTACCAAAGTTGAAAGGAAAAAAAAGACGATCAAGTAACAAAAAACAAAGAAGCTCTACCAAAGGAAGAAAAAAACAAAAACAATTTTATTTGAAAAAAATCGAAATTATAGTTTCTACGCATCTAATGAAAAAATTCTAGCGATTCTACAATTGTGTGGTGTTTTGTATAGGAAGATTAAAGGACGATCCCCCACCCGCGAAGTTCAATCTGAAGGGAACTGCCATTTTAGAGAATGGGAACCTTAATTTCGAGCTGACCGGTGTGAAAATTCGACCTGGCCAATCAGGATCATCAAATCCTAACTTTAAAGGTGGTTCTTCATTATCAACAGCTACTACACCTACAACGGGTTCGACTACACCAACTGGTTCAACGACTGGAACTAGTGCAACTACTGGCACTAGTCCAAAGTCTGGCACTAGTCCAACTACTGGCACTGGTAGCACCACAGGCACTGGTAAAACCACCGGCACGGGTTCAAAGACTGGCACTAGTCCTACTACTGGAACTGGTAGCACCACAGGCACTGGTAAAACCACCGGCACGGGTCCAAAGACTGGCACTAGTCCTACTACTGGCACTGGTAAGACCACAGGCACCGGTAAAACCACTGGCACTGGTCCAAAGACTGGCACTAGTCCTACTACTGGCACCGGTACTGGTTCTCAGATTACCACAGTCTCAACTCCAGCCGCTCAGCTTACACCCACTCCACCTGGTGGGGCCTGCCCACGACCCTTAAATGGTAAGAGTAATTGATTATAGCGATAATAAAAAAATCTTTTAAAAATGTATTTAATAAATATTGATGCAATTTTTTAGTAATGGCGATGGTAAACTAAATATGATAGTAATGATGATAATCTAAGTAATGAACCACTACTAGATGATGTACCTTTCCAAAATATCAAACAATTCTCTAATACTGCCCAATACAACGAGTGCGTTTTCCGGTTGCGGAACGAAATGGAAACTATTCCAATGTTTACATTCGGTTTATTTTCCATTTTAGTTTATGTAATAATAGTCGCCAATGACTTAAAGAAAACGCAAAATGCCTACCGACGCGTCCACGGCTCCCCTGACCTAAAACTGGATGATCACATGATGTGTGATGCTCAAAACTACGCTCAGAAAATGGCCTCTCTGGGAGTCTTGGAGCACCAATCAAGTGAAATTCTTGCACGACGAGGAGTGGGAGAGAACATTGGAATGTCCTGTGTTCCTGCTCGCAATGGCCCCCTGACCTACAAGAAAGTACAAAAAATGGCTCGCAATGTAGCTAAACGCTGGTAAGAGTGTTTCCTACTACTACTGTAGTAACCTTTGTCCAGTGAACAGGAGAGCCTCAAGTTTCATTTTCAACTTTTTTCAATGTATGGATGCTTCAACTATGAAATAAGATCATCATATTTTACGCGAAAACAAATCGGATATAGTTGAAATTCAAGGGTTAGATGAATTCTCAAATTAAACTCATACAGACATGCAGACTATGAACCGTAGAACATCTCTAAAGAAAATAGATTAATTACTGAAAAAGAATCTTGTTAACACACTAGTTCCTTTTGGTTGTAATTACAACATTGAGCTTTGGTTTTGGACCACCAGTTAGGATAATTTTGCAGAATTATGAACATATCTTCTTTCCTTTCAATTCTTTACAGGTATGATGAGGTGTGTCAGTACAACTTTGACGAGCCAAATTTCAATTCCGATACGGGACACTTTACCGAAGTCGTATGGTCGGGAAGCAGAAAGCTCGGAGTTGGTTACTCTGTCGGACGGAACATCAAATTTCCTGGATATGTCTGTGTTTACGTGGTTGGACGGTACAGTCCTGCTGGCAACAATTTAGGACCACAAAAACTAAGGAATAACGTTAGGAGAGGAAGCTTCAGTGGTTCATACTGCACTCCAAAGATAAAGCCACCCGCCTTTACCCTTGTTCCTCTTTATAAGAGGAACCGCTTTGGTAACAAAGCTTTTTACCATGTACGAGGTTAAGCCCAAGTTTATGAAAACCATTAGGTCGACATATACTGCAAAACGATCATTTACAAAAAAGAAATCATAGCATAAATTAGTAGGTTTTCATTAATGCTTATGTTAGAAATTATAAAGAAAATCATATTCTATAGTATTTATTTAAAAACGGTATCTTATTTATAATTAACGATAATTGTAGGTGTCTTTGTTGGATATTCAACTTAACTACTTTACAGAAAAGGTGCAGAAATGTTATATATTTAATATGATTTTCATGATTAAGGAATCGATCGATTGATCGCGGATCGAGAGATTAGGTTCGTTGTAACCCTAGCTAAGATTTTTGCGTTTTGAAATCTAACTTCCGGAACAATTCAGTGGAACCTATCTGGAGTACAGGTGTGTGACAAAAGCGTCACAGACACCTAACATCATAGTGGGTTTTTACCTGCAAGGGGTAAAAGAGATAACGCTATTGTGAATATAATGACATATCTATTTATACCATATGAATGTTAATATAATAATAATATAGATCGATTTAAATAACGCATTTCCATGTAAATGCTCTAAAGCGCTTTACAACACTGTGCGGGGGACTTTTTCAGACTGCCGGTGGCAGTTTACAATTAATAAAGGAGAAATTTTTACAGATGCCCCCTCCCCCCCTTCCCAGAAAACAGGCCAGACCACATCACAGTGATCTCGTGATGTGGGTTCTTTAACGTCCCCTGCCGAAATTAACTGATTAATTAAATTAATTAATTAATATTTTCGATGTCGATAGAAATGAAGGACCCTCTAGAGGAAACATAACAGTTAATATAGGTAACGTAACAGTTTGACTTCAAAGGAAACCTAACAGAAAAACTTGGACATGAAAATGGACGTCATGATACCCCCACAAAAAACAAACCTTCGTGGTTGCCTTCAAGAGCATAGAGTTTACTTGCTGCCAGGAGAACAAAGAAGATATACGACCGACACATTATCATTATAGCTTAAATTAGCGAGGGTATTGCTAATCGAACCTAAAGATCTTTCACCCAAATCGTATTCCATGGAACAGAGTTAACATGCTAATTATGAAATAAAAATCACTGAGATAAGATTATCAGCATTGCCACGATGCAGACCTATTATTGATGAGAAAACCCTACCACAATTTCATAATGAAGAGAATTTTCCAGAATTCATTGAACAAAACGTTAAAAAAAAAGACACACGCACACACCAGTTAAAGTATTATATCACTGATTTTGGGTTTTAATTTTTTAACATCTGGGTATCCAGCATGATTTTGTGTGAATGGAACATTTAAACGCCGAAATTTTCGAGGTTTTCCCAAAGCAGGCCCACGGCGCGTGGCCCGCGGCTCAATTTACAGGACACAGCCCAGTAATTCGTTCATTACATTTAATAATAATGATAATAATAATGATAATAATAATAATAATGATATGGCGGCAAGTAAGTAAGACGTGCTACGTCGACTCATGCGGAAGTTCAGGATTTACTGAAAGCCAGCCGAGTTTGGAGCGCCACTACACATTTAGAGAGTTAAAGGCCTTGTGGACTGTCTTTCGGTCTACTTTGTGGTTTCTTGGAAGACAATTTGTTGCCTGAATGAGTGACTGTTGTCTTCGTTTTAATTTGGATAAATTTAACAAGTTCGGTTAGTAGCTTTTATAATGGGGTATGACGAGTATGGAGGATGGCGAGAGCCAAAAGCGATCAAAAGGATGGACAAAATGGAGTGAGACAATGAAGAAAGATTTGAAGGATTGTAAGAAGAAAGCGCTGCTACTGGCAAATGCAGAAGAGCCGCCGCGTTCCGATAATGGCCGAAAGCAAGGCTACATGAAGACAATGAAAGATCTTTGGGAGGAGAAAGGATATGAAGACATGGGCTTTACGAGCCAACATTTACGGGATCAAGCGGCGAAGTTAGAAAAGTCGTTGGGCAATGTGAAAGCTTTGATTTCTGCTTGTGTTGGCTCAAAAGAAATTCAAAATACTAGTTCTCCTAGAGAGATGACTTTTAATTGCGAAACGAATTTTCAAGATGCTAATTCAAACGAGTCCGTAGATTTGCATACGGTCGACAGAGCTTTAATCCCAGAGGAACAAGTTAACAGCCTGAAATAAGAGGCACGTGCTTTGGTGGACGTGGCAGCTCCTGTTCTCGCGCGGGTGTACACGCAAGAGGGTGAGTTCATCAACCGGGAAATAGACACGAGGATTAAAGAAAAATCTACGATGAACGATCTGGATAATATAAATAAGGTGATAGCTGAGCTAGTGAAGCAGCACAATATGTCTACGACCGAAGGTCCATTTAGCTACCAGAAGACTGCAAATTGTGTACTATATTCGGTCGTAGCTGCGTTTCTTTTCCAAAGGGTTGGAAAAAGCAGGGTCCACGAAGACGTGTTAAAGATGACAGAAGCAAGAGGTATTATATGGCTGAGGTGGGAGAGATCAGGAAAAAGATTTCAATTGCAAAGGCTGAGTTGGATCGTGTGAGAGTCAATGGGAAGTTGACGAAGAAAGGGAAACGGAACAGAACTATTTTACAGGAGGAGTGTAAACACGTCTCGGCGGCGGAGTTAGTAAGTTATATGGAGAAGCAAAGATCACTTCTCAGGAAACTTAAGAGAGGATTTTACCGGAGACAGAAACACGCGGAAGCAAGACGTGTAAATTACCCGTTTAAAGTAGACGCGGGTCAGGTTTATGCTTACATGAGAGTCATTGGACAAGGATAAAGAAGACAAGTGCCCGAAGCACACGCCAGTGGATGACAAAAATGAAAATAGAAAGATGTTTGAGAATATCGTGGAGGCGAGTAGCTTTTGGATACAGCTCTGGAAAAGTCAAGGGACTGGGAATAGAAACGCCCAATAGCTCGAGGATATAGGGTCTGCAATTTATAGTCGAGTTCCTGCCCCGTCAGAGAAGGCCTGGAAGCTAAACACCGTCGAAGCTACAAGGGTACTAGCAAGGAAAAAGAACTAGAGCGTCCCGGGTCCAGATAGGTTGACCAACTTTTGGTGGAAAAAGGCACAAGTGCTTCATTGAAGGTGTGACCATGTCGTTTCAGGCTATAGCGAATGTCAATGTAGAGTATCCACCCTGGTTCTCTGAAGGAAAAACCACACTACTTCCGAGACCCTGAGAATTCACAAGTGATAACCAGAGGCCGATAAACTTTCTAAATACTTTGTACAAGTGGTTCACTTCGTGCATATTAGGACCTGCAAATCAACATCTAGAAACGCATGGTCTAATGGATGGAGCTCAGAGGGGTGCACGCGCAGGCTGTAGCGGAACCATAGACAATTTACTCATTGACAGAGTTGTGACCTTAGATTGTCAGAGGCGAAAGCGTAATTTGAGTATGGCCTGGATTGACGTCAAAAAGGCGTACGACTCGGTAGACCATGGTTGGTTGGAAGAGATGATGATCTTGCATAGATTCCCTATCCGGTTGTCAAGGACGGTAGAGAAGTTAAGCAAGGGCTGGAACACAAGGGTGGTGGCGACAACAAAGCTAGGACGCGAGAGATCTGAGCCAATCAGGTTTCTTAAAGGTCTACCCCAGGGTGATGCTCTCTGTCCCAGACTCTTCACGGTTTGCTTCAATTCTATTGCGTGGATGATCACTGCCAGTGAGGGCTATAAGCTATCTGAGCCAATTAGTGTAAAGGTAACAGATTTGCTGTATATTGACGATCTAAAGGTCTTTGCGTCTTCGGAGAGTAAACTAAGCCGTGTTATGGAGTCAACCAAGACTGCAATGGATGATGTCGGACTCCAATGGAACCCCAAAAAGTGTGCGGTCGTTCATGCACCGAGAGGGGTATATACCCCTACCCATGACGCCACGGGGCTAAGGGTAGATGAGAATATCTGTATTTCCAACCTTGAAGAGGGCAATCAGTACAAGTTCTTGGGTGTTTTGGAGACGTTGGGGCAAGAGAAGAGGATGTCGTTGGAAGGCACAGCAAGGACTATCTTCGCAGAATGTCTTTCATCTGGTCAAGTCCCTTGTCTGATTATCATATCAAACTGTTTCCCCACTGCGATGGACATTTGTTTTTGTCGGTTCCAGCCTGGCGCGGCCGCTAACCCAGATGCCCTCCTGAGCAAATTTTCAAAATGGCGGNGATGGATGTCTTCCCCTGGGGTGGGATGGGTGGGTGTTGTCTTGCGATTATATGAGCCTCTGGCTCGGGCAATATGGGCAACCATGCCCCACGCAAAGACATTAAACTTGATTACAGGAAGTGCAGGAGACGAGACGCATTGCAGCACTTTGTACAAGCTGAACCTTATCTAATAAGACAGACCTGAGAAAAAATCAGGCTTGTACGGGATTCGAACCACTGACCTCTGCGATACTACTGCAGCGCTCTACCAATTTAGCTAACAACTGGGAGCAGGCCGCTAAGTTGAGTCGTAATAAGCCCGTGAAAGCGATAAAATAGATACAATAAAAAAATATATGAAACTCATATATTTTGAACTGCGGTATTATATACGTATGATGCAATATCCTTCCAGTAGAGAGCACTGTTTAAGCAATAGCGAAAATCAGACCTGAAAAAAATCAGGCCTGTTCAGGATTCGAACCACTGACCTCTGCGATACTAGTGCACCGCTCTACCAATTGAGCTAGCAAGCCAACTAGAAGCAGCCCGCTAAGTTGATTCCTAATAAACCCGTAGAGGTGATAAATCAGATACAATAACCGTTAGGTTCATTCGTAATAAGCCCGTGAAAGTGATAAATGAGATACAATGAAATATATTAGGTTTATATATTTTGAACTGCGGTATGAGATACGTATGATGCACGATACTCGCAGTAGACAGTGCTATTTAAGCAAAAGCGAAAATCAGACCTAAATTTGACAGTGACTCACGTATCGTACTTTATCACCCTGAAGATCAATTTACCACCGTGATGAGTGTCATTTTCTACTTTCAAATCAATTTGCATCCTTGATATTGCAACTTCTGCCTTTACCCTAATCCATTTTCGTTATTTTCGCAAAGAGAAAATTAGAAACTCCATTCTTTAAATAATTGTACAAGATGAAGAAGAAGCTAAAAATGTTATGGTTTTTTTCACGGCGCTCTGACAACTTTCCATTACCAATAATAAAAGTCCCACGTTATTTATCATGAAATACGTATTGCAAATGCGGTGTAACGCGTCAGTCGAATGAAAACATTTAGAAATAAACTTCTGTTACATGTATCTTCAATAATTATCTTTCGTTCTCGACGAATTTTCTCGTAGGTGTCAGTGTATAACACCCTAAAAGTCTTGTTTGCTTGTTGGCACTGATTTACATAGAAGGGGAAAGAAAAAAAAATTGTGAGAAAACCGAGACCTCAGTGCTGATTTAGCGAGGTCTTTGGTTCTGATCATGAGTGGCAGTTGGGCTGTGTTGTCCACATGAACAAAAGACCCATTTTTTTAGACGAAAAAACTGTTAAATAACTTTTACACGGTAAATATTTCGCAGCATTACATTCCATCC